CCAACATCTTGCGTTTATCCTTGTTTTCTATCAGATAAGGATTAAGGGCCTCACCAAAAAGCATGCCGCCCTTGTAGGGTGCTGCCGCCAACCGCCGCTTCGCTTTAATGTCGGCTCGCCACTGTTTGAGCCACAGGAATTGGCGTGCAGCTGTGTTGTACGCTATCCCCCTTGCAGAATTGTTTGCTGCATGCAAGGATGAATCTGCCATGAATTCCACTGCCGCCACTAACCTCCTTAAGTCCTGGTGGGTTTTCTCCTCCCCTGTGGAGGTCCTCGTCTGGAGTTGGCGGAGCCAGAGTAGCGCAGTCCTAGCAAAGAAGGAAGTAGAAATAGCTGCCTTGATTGCCCACACCGAGGCTTGGTGTGTCCTGCGGAAGGTGAGGTCCGCCTTCCTATCCTCTGACTTAAGGGCCTCCGCTGCGTCTCCAGTTACCGTGGATGGAGAGAAAAGTGCGGCTAGAGGCTCATCTACCTTCGGGACCTCTATTACTTCCGATAAGCCAGGATCTATGTTGAACAGCTTCTTGTCTGTTCCCCACATCAGGAGGAAAGATCCCGGTGCCCCCATATTATTCTGAATTGAATCAAAAAAGAGAGGGGGGACAGGAAATAAATTGTTGTGTGTAAGTGGGTTGGGAAAACACCTCGTTGTTTGTGACCTGACTAGTTGAAGGTCCCTCTTGAAGGATCAAAGGTCTCTCAATCTTGGCAGTGCTGCTGGCCTTGTGAAGCAGGAACTTGAATAGGGTGGGGTTAAATAGACCCACGAACGGTGGAGGGTCTGGGGATATGTCATCATCCTCTGACAATCCCTGATCTGTCTGCTCCTAGTCCTCAGCAGGAGACTTCCTGCCTCTGGAAGATCGAGAAGGGGAGATTAATTCCTGGTACACAGAGGCTTCCTCTTGAGAGAGGAGGGAATGACCTCTTGAAGTCATGGACCCGGCCCTGGAACAATGATGCCTTGAAGAGGCCATGGCCTGAGCGACGGCCTGAGATATCAGAGATTGTAAGTGTCCCGATGACAATGCTCCTTGGCTACCTGTCATTGTCCCCGGGCCTTCAGGCCCTTCACTAAGAGGGGATTCGATTGCCTGTACTGCATCAGCCTCTGTTTCCAGAGGTTCCTGACTAGGCTTCCTCGGACCAAATATTTCCTCCTCTTTGTAATTAGGTGGAACTAGACCGTCCTCTGCTGTGGCTTGCCTCTTTTCGGCCCTAGAAACTGTTTTTCCAGGGCTTGGTGTCTACACTTGGCCTCCTTATCCGCTGCCTTATTTATTTATTTATTTATTTATTAAATTTATATACCGCCCTATCTCCCTTGCGGGACTCAGGGCGGTGAACAGGCAATACTAAAAACCATGGTAATAAATAGTTTGTTTTAAAATCGAATTAAATAACGGGCCTGTTCTAAAAACACACCCGTAAAAAAACCCCCACTTAGAAGGCCTTTTGCCAGAAATTGCTTTGGCTTTGATTCTGCCCGCCACCTCCTGGTTAGATGATCTTCGCCTCTTGCGCTCAGGAGGGCTGATGGATGATTCCTGCGGTGATTGGGCAGCGTTTGTGTCTGCCACTGGCAGAAAGAAATATCCCAGCTCAAAACTGGGAGAAATCTCAAATAAGAGGCCTTGTGCAGGTTAGTTCAGGGGACAATTGTTTGAATTTGACAGGTTCCTGTAACTGTCTCTCCTTTGAAGAGATATTCGATTGATTGATTTGATTTTTTTTAATTTAATTTTTTTTAAAGGCTTGGCTAGGAAGGAGGAAGGAGATGCTGATTCCAATTGCCCTGAGAAAAAGAGAGCGGCTCGACCGCTGTCCTCACTTCCCTGCTCTGCAAACACGTGGAGGTAAAATGGCAACTGAAAGTCCTCTGATCGCTCTCCGCGGCTCAGCTGATTATCGGGAAGGCTGGCAGAGTTCAGTTTGCGCCCGCCTATTGGCTGGGCTCCCAGAAGAGCTGCGTGGTGAATTTAAATACTCTGCCGGCCGGCGGAGCTTCGGGGAAAAAACCGCGGGAGTCCCTTAGCTCTCCACGGCTGATCTCCGGGGGAAGCCCTATGAGCCGTATCACTCTCCGCGGCTCAGCTGGCTTCGGGGAAAGACCACGGAAGTTCTATCAGCTCTCCGCGGCTGAAAAACTTTCGGAAAAGCCGTGGGAGATCTAATAGCACCCGCGGATCAGCTGGCTTAGGGAAAATCTGAGTGGCTGAAAACAGCCAAAAAACTCAGCTGCTCCTCTGAGAAGGGAACTAAATGATCTCTAGAGAGGGAGGGGGTGCTGGGGGAGTATAAGGAAAACAAAGGCCCTCCCCTCGCCCTGGAGCTTGCTCGGTGATCAAACAAAAATGGCGCCCCAGCTTTGTTCTGTCTGACGATTGGATGTTCTAAGAGCTTCGCGGTAGCGCTGCGATCACCCGGCTAAGGGAAGGAAGCGAACAGCCTTTCATCCTTTGCTGCATCCCCCTCTCTTCGAACGAAGTTAAGATAAGAAAGAAAAAATACGACCTGATTCAAAGAAATTGCTTCTGGAGCCAGAAATATCAGTCTGAATGGGCTGAGACTAAGTCGAGAACTGGGGAAGGGAGGTCCCAGGGAGAGAGGCGGAGCAAAATTGGCTGACTTAGTCTACGGGCAGAAGACAAGCAAAACCCATTGGTGGATTCTCCACTCGTCATGCTGGAGAATGATATTGCATCACTTCTGGGATGTTCTCAAATCCTTATCAATGAAGCATGGATAGTGAATTAGAAAGGGCAAATTAGCACCTGAGATCAAGACAAGAAAAGTTGATGTATCATTTTATCAGATTCTAGCCAACCTATTAAAACGATGAAGATTTTCTAATATACAGAATTACTTTAAAACTCAAAGACTCAGGTATAAGGGATAGATTAACAGAGTTCCTGATTGCAATGCATTCATCAAGATAAAAGCCAAATATGAGATTTAACCAATTGATTTCCTGTCCACTCTCAGGAAATTCAACCAACCTACCAACAAATTCATACCTCAGATTGGAAAAGCACATTAAAGAGCATTGCTAGGATATTCACAAGCACAAATTTTCAATGTCCTATATTATTATTCTCCCTTCAAACCCACAATCATCTCTAGCTTCCACAATCCTCAGTTCCCTCAAACTAATACAATTGTATTCATTGAGCATTATTTGCAATTTATTGATAATTATCTGAATATTTTCACTGTAGATATTAATGTACAATAGCTAAAAGTGTAGGATAAGCATAAAGTTATGCAACATGAGCAATTAAGTCTTATTGCACCTATATTACTATTCATCTGTCAAGGATCACACATTTTCCTATTATCAAAATCTTACAATGACTCTTTAATAATCCTCTTTCCAGTGGATAAAAACATATATTGCACTGGAACAAAAAAGTAGAGACAGATTGAACAATAAACATGAATGACATCAAATAATAATTGTTTTTCTTTAAACATGTCAAACTGCACAGTTTACCAGATAGATGGATGGATGGATGGACGGACGGATATTCATTTTTAACAGCCTTGTTGTCACAATTACTGTTGCTTTCAAGTCTTAAAAATTACCAAGTCTTCTACCTGTGTGATTCTGAGATGTGCTTAACCAAGCTCAGACAGGGCTGTCTAAAGTGACTGTTAGCTAAATTACTAAAGTAATTCATATCTAGATATGACTCATGTGGAAACATCATAGAAGCAGTTGTAATCAAGCATATTTATTCATTTGTATTATAAAGGTGCCAAACTTGCCTCCAATTAATTTTTATGGTGATTCTATAGTACAGGTGTTCTCAAAATGTATGTTCTACCCACCTATTCCTGTCAGTAGATAATAAACCTATCTCCCTATATGTTAACAATGCTGTCATTCTTTTTTTTCCTAGTTCAGATTGGTGGAAGGCTCAGGCATTAACAACATTCTGCCATCATGTAATATTAGAAATTAATTTATTTAAAACAAAATAAGTATCAATTGCTACCATGATTTTAAAATCAGTGGTATCCAAACTGAACAGATTCAGGTTTTAAAATATTTAGGAATCCACTTTCAGTCTTCCATCATTTGGAAACAACAAAATCAAAAAATTACAGAATCTGTCCCCAAAGTTATCACTGTAATTAGATTTGCTGTCTCTCATAAACAAAATATATAAATGTATACTTTACAGAAGTAAAAGGTTATTTTATATAATGTGGTTGTGCATAGCTCAGAAATTTGAGAACAGAATATTCTGTACCCTTCTAGTTCCCCTCTAGACAATGCCAATTTTCCTTTGTTCTAGTTCAGCAATTTTTTAAAGCAGATTCTTTGAACTACAAGTGTTTTGTGGTTTCCCTGACTTGGAGCTCCCAGACAAAACATGCCTGTTTCAGGTTCAGGCCATCACCTAGAGCAGGCATGTCAAACTTGCAACGTCACATGATGTCACGTGACATAGCACGACTTTTTCCCCATTGCCGGCAATGGGGTGGGCGCGGTTTCAGCATGACCCATCCAGCCTGCAGACCGGCCGTTTGACATGCCTGACCTAGAGTGTGAAAAACTTTCGATTCATATAATCTACTTCCAGAAATTGCTCGACAATGTGGAGAGATTTGCCATGATCTGGAAGAATATAATGTTCCAAAGCTATTAAAACATCAGTAAGTTTCTTCCTACCTGCAAGTATTTCCAGAACAATTAGGAAAATAAAGAGTCATCCTGAATTAAGACTAATGCCAGTAGCTGGCCAACAAACTGCAAACAGAAAAAAATAATTTGAGCGTGAAAGCCAACACAGAAGGTAATTTTTAATTTACTCTAAAAGTTCTATGGTACATTTTCAGAACAGATAAAAAATCTTTCCAGAAAGCAACATCTTAATAAAGTTAACATACAGTTCTGAATACTTAATAGAATGAAAAATTTCAACTATATTTTGGTCATTGCCATGATTTTTAATTCCTAAATGTGATTTTTATTAAAAAAAATATCTTACCTGAACACAGTTGTTCAACTTTTGTGTAGTTTAAAGCTACTATGTCATTCACCCATGCAATGATGTCATGTCTGCTCATAGTCTCTTGGGTTATAGAGGTAGAATACACGTTGACCGCCATTCCCCAACTGCAAAATCATATATGCATATGTAAGTTTGATACCAGAACATTTGCCATTCTGAATCCAATATCTATATACGTAACACATACTATCAGTGAAAAAAACCCCAGTATTTCCCAAATACATTCATTATCAATTTAGTTTTTTCAGTCTCAAGCATATTTGTTGATCTGTAACCCCTATAATCCTCACTTAGCATGATATTACTATCCAAATATAGATGGCAAAGAATTAATTAAGGGAACTGAAGTCCAATGCATCTTGAGGATTCTGTTATCTGAATTTTCCCATTAAGAAAAAAGAAATTGCATACTTTTATAAAGACTGGTCTCCATTGTTTGACAAGAGAGAATCTTACGCCATTCTTATCTTAAATTCTCCCCTAAAACATCAGTGATGGTACAATATATGCAAGACGATGTATTATTAACATACCTATGGAAATATGAGAACAAGTTCTCACATGGCCAAAAGTTCAATCTGAGTCCTTTGCATTGTGTGGGTATAAGAAAGTCCTAAAATTTTGAAAATTGATTTCATTATAAATAGAGTATGCATTTGAAACATAATAGTCACTAGAATTCTTCCACATCTTCAAAGCTTTTCTGCAATAAATTTACTTCTCTCAGATTTTATACCTTTACAAATATATTCTCAAAGTTTTCACCTTCCCAACAGTTGGAAGCCTGGCTTGTATCAATATACAGCAACTCCCATGGTATAGTATTTGTAAATGTGTTGGACATTTTAGGATGAATCCTGTTCATTGACTAACTTGTTTTAGTATCTTATCTGTTAATTTGGAAACTATATATCAGGATAGCTTAATTCTAAAAATCAATCATTGTTTATATCAGTAAGTAGTATGGAAAAATATGTATGTTATGCCAAGAGATTATTATTATAATATGGTTTAGCTTTTCATATGAACTGGATATATATTCTTTAACCGAAGCATAACAGTACTCTGTGTAGTACAGTGAAGGGAAATTAGTTACTCTATTTTAACCTGTAAAATTCTTCACTCCATTAACTCCTTATCTCCCAAATTCAAAATGGACTTAATGTGCTCTGTGTTTAACAAATGGCCATACTTGGCAGTAAATTATCACTTTAGTAAACTACATATCACAAGTATTTTGACCAATTTGGGGAATAAACAAGATTTCACAGAACAAGCCTTACTCTTCTAGAATGTAGGAGCTGATAGTTATATTTTACCAGAGGAGTGTAATATGTAAAATAATATGTAAAATATTTTACCAAACTACCTATTAATCAGGTAGAAAAAAACTGATAATAGAAAGGATTACAATAAACAATTAATCACACTTGTATTGTCACTCATCGCATACATCAAATAAATATTAAAACAACAAATAAAAAGAAATAAAAAATCCACATTAAAAGATAAATACTATAAAAACAAACGATGCCTGTGACATGAATTGAGATCATATAAAATCTCCTGTTGCTTATTTCATGGTGAGAAATTATTTGTTTATTTATAGATACATATCCCCACTTTTAATTCATCTGAACATTCATTTTAAAAATATCAAAAAGAATATCAACAAAGACTAAAAAAAATATATTACCGCAATTAAAATCCCAATTTTAAAAGTTTCATCTTTTTGAAACATTGTTTTAAAGCTTTTATTTAAACCAACTTCAATATTTTCAACAAAATAATATGTAAAATAATTTACCAAGCAAGTTATTAATTGCGTGGAAAAGAAATTGATAATAGAAAGGGTTACAATAAACAATTAATCAACACTTGTTCATCTCACAAAAAGTGACCCTGAGTTTTGTACATCAAATAAATGTTAAAACAACAAATACAAAGAAATAAAAAAATCCACATTAAAAGATAAATACTATAAAAACAAATATACAAACCCCGGGCAAAGAGGGGATAAAAACCATTACCTCTAACTAAGTCTCTGGTTCCCCTGAGAGCCCCAGGCCTGATAACTTAACCAGGACATGAGGGAAGTCTGGAATGTCAAGAGAGATGGAACTAAACTAATCTTGGGGGAAGAGAAAAATGTTTCATAAGGTGGGGGTCACAGCAGACCTGGGACCTACCAAATGTAGGTTCCTAGCTGATAATACATCTAATGGGGCAGGCTAATGTAATTGGGGAGAAGCAGTCCCTCAGATAGTCTAGTCCTGTGCCGTGAGAGGCTTTAAAGGTTAAAACCAAGACCTTAATCTCATCCCAGAAGCAAAGTGGCATCCAGTGCTGTTCAGGGAGTACAGTTCTAGGGTGCATATAATTCTGTACCAGCTGAAGCTTCCAGACAATTTTCAAGAGCTGCTGCATTAGATTGCATTGCAGTAGTCCAATCTGGAGATGACTACAGTATAAACAACTTTAAGCAAAGCCTTTATATAAAATAACTTCTAGAATAAAAATAACATACTCCCTACATTGCAGTAGGGAGCATATTTTTCTGTTTTAAGAGAAGGAAGCTGCATAGCAGAAAGAGTAGAATGCTATCTAGTTTTAAAAAAACATAAATTCTTAGGCTGGATTGGTAAGAAGTTCCAAACCCTTGAAATATTCCCAGATGCTTTTCCAGGTATATCTTCTTTGTCCCACTGAAATGGCTAAAGGTACTAAGGCAAAGAAGCAACAAATATCACTGAATCTTGCCTTCGATTCATCATATCACTAAACTGATGAAGTGATACTTGCTCTATCTATTGTATTTGCAAGATAAATATGTCAAGCTTTTAAAGAAAGAAGTATCTTAAAATGAAAATTCTCTCCTTCAGTAAAAATTACATGTCTGGCAATCTGTGCAACTCATATACAGTGCAATCAAACAATCCGTATTTGTATAGCTCAATCTTCCCCAATCTAATGCCTCTAAGTGCATTGAGCTACAAGTAATATCTCTCATTATTCTCACCCAGACAGTAATTAGAGAACAGATAAAGTAGAGTAATTAATATATATATGTAAAAAAATTATTTACAGACAAAAAGCTTATGTAACAAAGTACATATATGATTAAAATTTTTGTGTAAGATAAGATAAAATGAAATAAATCGTAATATGAATGTACTGTAAATGTAATTTATTCCAAAGGTCAGGGGTGAGATAAGACATTTCACAAATTTTGTTTAACACAATGAAGCATCAATGACATACTTCTGGAAAACAGATAACCAGGATCAATATCAATTTGACCAGTCTTTTGGATTATTTGTTTAAACAACCTGTCTACATAAGAATAATTTGGAATAATTTCATATAGCAGTCATCCCTTGCTTCAAAAACATTCTGAAACCAAATTTAATTGTACTAAAAAGGACAATAGGATTTGCAGATCAGTCTCATGTTCTGGAAGAAAAATGAGAAAAGCTATTCTTAGATATCAGTGTTAATAACTAAATACCTTTTATCTTCATTAACACATCTAAATCTCTAACTAAAAATAAAGACTGGGAGAGGGGAGAGCTATAATAAGAGAGTTAAGAGAAGAAACTGAAAATCAAGTAGTCAACTGTGCCATGAAGAGCATAACAATAATGTACCAAGAATATTGAACTTTGAATTTTATGAAATATTCATTCTTAATTTCAATTTTGAATGTTATTAGTTATTCAGAATAAGGAAGTTAGATTTCTCTGTTTGCTGTATTTGAATCAAGACAGTGATAGTTAAGTCATCTTCCAATCACATGATACCAATAGAACACTAACAGTTTTATTATAGATAGGGAATATTGTTCTACTGATTTTCCATATAAGTACTCTTGAAAAGGATTGACTGTTAGAAGATCAACAACTCTGGATTTGAAAAACCACCAAGAGCTCTTAAATTAGCATTTTATAACTGCTGCAAGGACTAAACCAAGCAACCTTTTCAAAAGAAAAAAAATAAGTTTGAAGACAGATGACAAGAAGTGGATTAAATGTCTCAGCTCCTTCCACAACCCCCACCACTCATTCCAGAAAGAAAACCAAGAATTTAACGCTGGAACCTAGTCTCTATTACTATTTTTATTTCTACAGAAAAAAATGTCCAGATCACCAATCCTAAAAGCAGACTTCTCTGCTTTCAAAGTGTCAGGATATAATGTATCATTGCCAAAGCAAATTTATTCAGATGCACTTGGCCTGCTCAGTATGCAAATGGTCAGGCAACTAAATAATCCCAGAATGAAAAGTCCTGGGAAAAGAGAATCGATTTAATAGAATATGGCTTTTAAATTCAATGAGATTGAAAAACCATGGCTTCCAGGACAGAATAATGTAACTTGTACCACTTTGCCTGATGTATCTATATTTTATAAAATATCTAATGGGAATGTGCGGAGAGACTATTTCTTTCCTATCAGTTCTCATTCTTTAATCTTCCTAGAAATACTTTGCAGGCAGTGAGTGCGTGATTTTTTTTTTTCTTCCAATCCTGATAAAGTAAGCCACAAAGCCACCTGTACATTGAATTAATTATGTACAGATGTTTCTTATTGGAAATTTGATGTTTAGAGAAAAGAGGAGTAATTACAAGTTCCAGGAATCATATGATACCTGGCCAAGATCTAGGTTTTTGCTTCTTGATTATTTGAAGTGATGACATGTGGTTTATATTATAAAATCATGAAAATCCATATTTATTCATATATATAACTTGGAGGGTGGGGAATGCAACAAATATTGGAATGTTCTCAGAAATTTGCCTATGGTCAATAAGTCTACTAAGCAGAAATAGGCATTAACATTTTTTCATGTTTCTTAGCTGATTTTGCTTTGGCAATAAGCAGTCTTTACCTTGGTAAAAGAGGCAATTTTTTTTTTAAAAAAGGAAGTATTATAAGCACCCACTTTCTCATTGGCTGAAGAACCCAAGCCATAATGGAAGATTTATAGTATTCTCATACTGACAACTGGGACTTGTGACATTTAGGAATCTGATTACTTCAAAGAAAAGAAAAGAATCAGTCACAGTGCTTGGGTTTTGATTGTTTGGGCTATCCATGTCCAGGCAA